AGTGAAAGTCATCAGAGAGGAATTACGACCACAAAATATTTTAACTACACATACTCTTGTGGAAATGGAGCCAACTGGAATATTACAGCAAAAGACCTTCGATAAAGGTGCCTGAACAAAGAAAAACAAGTTCAGATGAGAAACGCTTCTAGCTAGGGTCCTCTTGCATGCTACATTTTAAAATGTAATTAAAAGCAGACATTTAAGTGTTTTAAATACTAATTTAACGTGTCCCGTATGGTTGTCATGGGAAACCTCTCCCTGTGACAGCTCCTTCACTGACATTAACACCCTCAGAGCGGAGTGGGAGGGCGCTCGGTCAGCTGGGTTTAAATGACAGCTTCTACGACAGACTACGCTTAACAAGTCTCCACGGAAATATTACTGCAACAACGTGATGTTAGGAGGCACTTTCACTGCTAAATTTTCCCCTCGTGTCAGAAATGTGACCAAATCACGATGTATGGTCTGCAGTGGCCTCATTATCGGAAACTTCTAGAACCTCGGTTCTGCGTGTTATCGCTGCAATGTGCAGGAACGTTAACAATGAGAAATTTGTTTTTGTCTTCCACACGTGTTCATTAGGGAGCAGATGTGTGCAGCAAGGTTATGACAAGTCCATGCATTAGTGAGGATCCCAGCAGAGAGGATGGGAAAAAAGGGGAATCAGGTGTGTTGCAACTACAGGTGTTGAGTCTGTCGCGGTGAAGGTGTAACAAAGTGTTTTTATATTCTCTACTCAATACATTCTCACTTATCTTGTGTTTTATTTTCTTAAATAATGAATGAAAAGGGGCACTGCTCTGGAAAAGTAAAATAATGAAGTTTAATTAGCCTCAAGTGAATCTTCTTCATTCCCAAATACAAAAGAGCATTTTGGCTCTAAATTAAAATCATCCCTGAGCTTTTTAAACAGAAAAACAAAGACGACTGACATCGAGTAAAGAAATGTGTGATTTTGTTCAAATAACTAAAAAGAATTAGACCACTTAAATCCATACTATGCAACTTTTTCATATTTTCTAAAATGACCCTTTACAGGGTTAATGAAAAGCCACTCATACCACTACCACTCTCTGTGGCCCGAATAACGTACTTGCAATTTCAGAGTGGTGGGCCGCCACTTGTTGGACTTAGAAAAAATTGAGTTGACCTGCCTGGATCTGCAGTCTGCTTCCAGCACATTTCCTGCATGTTTTAGATCATGAACACAGCTGATTTGTTTGATTTAGTGATGAATTGCCCTGGCAGACACTAATGAAGGCTGAGGAGACATTTCAGCTGTCAGATTAAGGTGTTAAAAAGCCATACTCACAGCAAGGAGATAAGTTTTGCTTTTGGTTCTTCTAAATGGACACTAGGGGGTGCTAAAAGCCAGCCAAAACTGAAAAATGCGCCTTTAAAATGAAAATGTTTGTCACACAGAGGCAAGCATGAAAACACACGAGACACAGTGGCTCGTCCACGAGGGTTTTCACTGATGTCTGCAGGCTGGTGGGAACACAAGTCACCACTATCCTTAATAGGCCAACAGAAAGAGATGGGGATTTCCTTCGCTTAAGTATGTGTAGATTTTCTCAGAACCACAAAATCACAGACGATATAAAAAAATACTGCCAGACATAAACAGAAAAAAAGCTGTAGAACTCTACAGACAAGGACTGAATGTCATGAGGAGGAAGTAGGGAACTCAAATAGGTGAGAGTAAAAGAAAGGATGAAGAAAAATCCTCTCTAGGACTCCAAGAATGAATGAGTGAAAGTATGCGTGAACTTAACAGAATCCCTGAACTTCTGCTCTAAGTGATGTGTGGGTGTGTGTCAGAGTGGATTCATGTGGATGGAACAGTGAAACGTGTATTTGTCAGAGCTCTTTTAAGAAGCAAGTGTTGTGTGGGCCGCACAAACAATAAATAAAGTACTTATTGGAATGTGTGAGTACTTAAGGTAAAACGTCAATCAAGACCAAATGTATCAAGATGCAGAAATAATTTCACACAAGTATGCACAAATATTTAAACAGAAATGTGGAAATATGTATTAAAGTCATGTACAAGCTGACTGGATCAAGATGAGGGAGGTTTGTATATCCACTACTTTTAGATTTCGATCTGCAGCAAAGGGCTTTCTACAACTCCTTTTTGAGCCAGATTCTCTCTGGGAATCCTTGTGAACATTTGTGAGGACGTTTCTTTGTATGAGTGTTGCTGGGATTTTTAGACAGATTAAAAAAAGTGAAACAAATCCCTTAAAATTGTCACAGGCTTGGTAAACCACCTCAAACCCTTCCTGTTTTGTTATTTATTATTTTGTTTGAGTGAGCCTGAAAAAGTGAGAAACGGGAGACAAACTTTAAATAAAATGAGGGTAAATCGTAACAAAGACATAATCAAGACACTAAGTGAATCAACTGGGACAAATACTTTCACCTCATTAACAGCTGCCCCGACTTATATCCAGTTCTTTGATACTCCTCTTATGGGACTCGTAACAGAGAAGTAACAAGTGTTTATACTGAACAGTCACATATGGACGTCAAACGCAGGTGCTGTCAACCACACATTGGTAACTTATGATGCACGCTCTCATCTTAAGGTCGGCATATGGCTTTAGGAGATGACACTCAGTGCTTTTACTTGTGCAGGTATGTCAACCTAAAGCAATAACCAAGGTAAAACTGGGACTCTTTAACCTACCATAAATCCTCTAATACAGGCCCGGGCCTGTATTTGACTCAAGCTCATCAAGCCCCAGGCCTTTATTGGAAGGAGGACCTGAATTAGAGGCTGGCCTCAATTTCTATTTGAGCAAAATGAACTAATGGTTCGATGGAGTTTTTGACAATTAAAATTGCGCCCACATTTTCAAAGTTAAACACATTTCTTTTAACAACGGTAGTTCCTGCTTCAGCCCTCTCCCCCCTCACCCGCGCAGCGGCCGCAAACTCACTGATGCGCCTGCAGCCTCTCGGAGTTCCTGCTGCTCTAAACATTAAAATAATTATTTCATTTTCTGTTCCTCACTTCTGATTACCTTCAGTGGTGTCTGTTTGTTGCAACCACCAGGTACAAAAACTAATTTGTTTTTATTTGACTATTTTTCTGTCCTGCCTGTTTATTATCTTCCTGCATCTCCTCTCAATCCTAAAGAAAAACTGCTACCTGGGTTCATATATATTCACCTTATGAGTTACCTTTGAACTGCAGTTCTAAAAGATCTACTGACCGCAAAAACAGTGGAGTGCTCGCTGTTTGGCGGCCGCATCAGTGATCAGTGCGTCACCGGAGGACAAGGTGATGCGCCCCGCTCCACAGCAGCGAAACACATCAGGCGCAAATAAAAGACAGAAAACATTAAAGGAAATGAGCCGACATGAACGATCGCGTGTTAAATTAGTTTTTGAGGTGGCAACACCTAATTTGATAATGTTACTGTGGCCGTGCTCAGGACGCAGATGTCTGGAGCGCGTCAACAATCAGAGCTTTGCATGCGCAAGCTGGCTAGGATGGGGTGAGGGGAAGGTTAAATTGCAAGAGGGAAAAGGTCACAATTTGGTTAAATGTCCATTTTACGGCGGGTGTAAGTGCCGACGCTCTGGCACAGCGTGTTGCCCCCGCCCACCCCCCCCAGCCCCCCCAAACACCCCCCACCCCCCCAACGCGCACGAGCTTGTCACCTGCTGACAGCAGGCTGCTGTCTTTTCTGTGGAATTCATCTTGCCGGTCATTATCACGTGACAGCGACTAGTCGATGACAGGCATAAAAAGTCACTATAGTGAAGTAGACTAGTTCATACAACCCCTGCTACTGCTCCCCAGTGTTCTGCAGCATAATCAGCACGTTCTCTTTGAACTTGATATCAAATTTTCGCCTCCTCTTCGTCTCCGCACCTGCCAAATCGCGGTCTGTCACTGGCAAATCAAAAGTGAGACGGATGACACAACCGCCCCCCCTGTGGTACTTGCTTGTTACCACATTCCACCCGGCCACAATAAAATACCGGCCATTATTCACCTTCGCCGACTCAGACGCCAGCCAAAATATGATACCCGGCCGTTAATTGAATACAGGCCAATATTAGAGGATTTACGGTAGTTTATACGTACGCTAGGAAACTAAATTATTGAATGAAGACTGTTCCACTCCGGTACAGTAGGGGCGACATACACCCTTTCATGTCGGCATTCTACTGGTTAGCTCATAGCAACAAAAATGAGAGACAGGAGTAAAGCAGGCGGAATGAAATCAGAATATGCACAATGGCCGAAGGAATGGACAAGAACACTGCAGCACAGTTTATTTGGTACATGTTGTACTGTTTGATGGTGTGACATGTTATTTTGTGGCGATGAAATTATCAGAAGACCACCTCTGAGATCTTGTCACTTCCGGAATGGGAGTGGCCAGCCGGTCACAGCTCGGCTAAGCCGTTTACATGGAGAGCAATTTGGTTTCTAACTGCATTATCTTGGAGCTCAATTTAAACCAGCTCAACTTCAGCCAGACCACTGCGCTTTATATGTATTTTTAAAGTCTGACTTCAGTCAAACTAAAGCAATAGCTTGATTTTCTGACACTGCATGTAAACACACTGATTCAGGGGACTCAAGACCAGCCTGTTAATTTCAAATCAGCAGCATGGAAAAGGTCCTGGTGCTTCATGGAAGAGAGAGGTCATCTATCCAGTAACTAACATGTGCCACGAAGGACAGCAGCAGCATCTTATCAGCACCACCTGTGTATTTTGCATTTGTTTCTTTTTTATATACCATACCCAAGTTGGTCTTTGTGGCCAAATTCCGACTTATAACCATGATGTTACTTAATGGTATGTACAAACTCTGTACAACTCAGAGCGGAAATTTGCAAACTGGTTGAAAATAGTTGCAGCGCAGAGAGATAACAACTGTAGAAATCATCTAACAGGTGCAGGATTTAAGTTTCAGACTAAAAACACGAGTCAAGAATCAAAACTGCTGATTAAACTGTGGAAGCCATTACCGTTCTGTGTGAGCTTGGTAGAACAGACCAGGGTGGAGATCTGGAAGGAGTCCTTGCTGATGGTGCAGGTGCTCAGGGTCTGGGTGCTTTTCCCACTCAGAGTCAAGCCCTTCTCCTCCAGCTCCAGCTTGGTGGAGGAGAGGTTCATGTAAATTGATGAGTCATCCATCTTCTTGGCTTCCGCCTGTTTTTGTGATTTTGAGAGGGATAAGATTAACAAATGTTTCACGAGATGGGGAAAAAGTGTAAAGGGAGATTTTCCACATTTACCTTGTACATGATGAGATCATGCTCACCATCCCTCAGAGTGGTCCCGTCGTACCGCATCAGTTTAACAAACGACAAAGCAAATACCTTCTCTGACTTATCTCTGGCTGTGGGAAGGGAAAAACAAACACGAGCGGAGAAAAAAAGAAAAGAGACAGACTGGGTGAGATACCGATGACGCTGTACTAAGTCTTCACTTGTGGCTTTTGTGTAAATTTGCAAACAGACCAAATCTAACACATGTGCACACAATTTGTTTAAATGAACAGTGTCCAATGTCAGGAATTTGTTTATCGGACAGCTGATTTTGCTGTGAAAATAAAAACTTGCAGGATTGGTGATAAAATAGATCGTCTCAACATTACAGGCTCAGAGTCAGCTCCTGAGTGGGCAAAACAACACGCTGCTCCAAACGAATCCCATCTCTTCACCAATACCGGAACTTTACTTTGCATAAATTCCCTCCTCTCCCAAAAGTGAGACAGAAATACAGATGATGCAGGAATAAAAATTGTCAGGTCAACATCAGAGGAGTTGGCAGGTGCAAATATGATCAAAATAAATAATACAGCCCTCAAAAACTGATGGATCTCTCTGTGACAACATGCACCACTCACTAGAAATAACACTGATGTGATGCGAGTTCAGACAGAAGCACCCAGAAGTTATTTTCTGTTGCACTAGCGGTAGATGCAAGAGTCACAGCTGTGAGCCATTTGGGTAATCCCATAATGCTAAAGAAAAGTTGTGTGTTGAGCTGGAGCGACCCAAGTGACGGATAAACAAGGAAGAGAGTTATGATTTTGTCCTCTAACCAGGCGTTTGGGTGAGGCCACACATCATCGTTGTGGATCAACACGCTCAGATTTACGTGCAGAAAAGAGATGTGATTTATCGCAGTGGATCTCGCCTTCGATCTGCATAAATCTGCTCATTGGTTTGCTGCCTGCAGCCTCTTGTGTGAATAATTGCTGCTCTCAGAGGAACCAGTGGAGGGGAAGCGCTGCATGCATGCCACCAGGTATTACCTGATGGACATTAGTGACTTCCTGAAGAAACACGAGGGGTTAGAAGTTTGAATTTTGAGGTGGGAAAGGGGAGAGTTCACTTTCAGGAAATCAGAGCTCGGTTCGTGTGGTGATTCCGCAGACTTCCACGTCTCAGGCGGGCTGTCACTTCAAATCAATGCTGAGTTTTTCTGTACTGCGCTTTAAAGCTCCACTCACCAAGTAGTGGCATGCTGACAGGTGGAGACGAGGTGAAAAGATGGTGGTTGTGTTTCTCTACAGCCAAGGCATGGTTTAAGATAGCAGCCGTCTGCCTGATGAGGCCTGACAATGTTAGTTAGAGTGGTAGTCTGAGAGACTGTACTAGAGCTGCACTAAGATAGAGAGCACATGAGCTCCACTAGTGGCCTTGGTGAGCAGCTCTGTCACTCTGCGTTTCTATGTAAGGTTCAGCACTTGCCAGGAGAACAGTGGAGGAAGCAGGAAGGACACAGGGGAGACGACAGCAGAGGAAGACATTTCAAACGCCTGGCAGACCCTCTTCGTGCCGCTCAGCTGCAGAGGGGGAGATCTTTGCAGCTTGTGCTGGCAAAATGTTTATAATATGAATGATTTAAGATTCTGCATTCAAATGATTAAAGTTCTGAGTGAGACAGGAGAGTGAAAAGTCTTAAACCATGAAAAATAAATCACTTTGATGATTTGGGTGTTTTTAAATTCACATAAAGTGCAATATGTGGGGGGAAAAGGCAGAGAGTTGCAAACATGGATCCTGAAAATCAATTATAAGGATACTGATTTCTTCTGTTTTTGCTTTTGCACCACATTTATTCAGGTCAACAAAACGTGATAACCTGAATAAATACAAAATGCAGTTTTTCAAATATTAATTTCATTTATTAAGAGTTTTCCTAATCATCCAGACTGTGTGAAAAAAGCAATTAGGCCCTAAACCTAATGACTGGTTGGAATAAATGAAATCAGCATTTGGGTTAACACAGGTCTCTAGAGGATTTTTGTCCCACAATTCTTTACAGACTTGTTAATGATCCACACTGAAGGGTATTCCTAGCATGAACAACTTGTTTAAAGTGACAGTCAGTGGCGGCTGGCCAGTAGAGGGCGATAGGGCGCCGCCCTCCCAGTTTCCCCACTGTTTTTAATTTTTATTTAAAAAAATAAATAAATAAAATTAACAATAATCACATATTCTAAGTTAATTGTGTGTTTTGTAACAAAAATAAATCACATATATATATATATCTATATTGTCTCTGCCGGTCTCTGCCGGTCTCTGCCGAGCGGTGGAGTTTGTGTGCTGTTTTTCAATCGCCCAAACAGGACGAGATCAGCTGTCCAATTGCTGACAAGAATATCAAAGGGTAGGAATGGGAATGTATCCAATCAGCGTCGACGTTGTTTCAGAACGTTTCAGAAGCATGATGGGCGATAGAGCTACCGCCAAGGCTTTCGTTGGTGTTCGGTAGAACTCGGAGAGTCTCGACTCCAGCACGTTTTTGGTCGTGACTCGTGACGAACATGGAGCAGACGCAGACATGGACGCCAGTGAGCCTACAACCAGGATACCGGATCTCAGCAGCCACTGAATTCAGTTCGGTCTCTTCTCCAGTATCCGTTCGAGAGGAGAACTATGGTGGAAAAACTTAATGTCAAAGAGCTTGGACCAGATCAGCCCGACGTAAAGATAAGCCAGCAGGTCAAGGAGAAGGGTAAACTGTACACACAACGCTTCTCCCAAAATTGGTACACCAGGAAGCAGTGGCTAGCTGGATGCAATCACGCTAATGCGTTATTTTGCTTTCTGTGTTTGTTATTCAAAACGGCTGGGATCCACAGAAGGTGGATGTGGAACTTGTGTCTCATTTGGGGACTCCATTCATTCTCTGACTGAGGAATGCAGCGCATCAGTGCAGCAGCCAACAAAGAAACGGAGGACGTTTGGACAGGGAGAACAGCAGCTGGGTGCAGAGGTAAGCTGTACATTACATTTCTGTAAACAAGACAATCAGAATCAGAAATCCTTGGTTGTCCCACAAACCGGGACATTTGTTTAATAACATGTACATTGTTTAATGTGCAATAACTGTAAAAACTAATTTCAACACACATACCTATTATACATATTTAATCATGTAAATGTGTATTTCAAGTAACTTTGTACATACATCAATCTGATTCCATTTTACTTGTTACACTTCTTCTGCAGCAAACAAATTTCCCAGCTTTTGGGACAATAAAACATTTCTGATTTGTCCCAAAAAGTGGGAAATATGACATTTGTAAGAGGATACTGATGACATTATTTCCTATGAAAGTGTTTCCACTTTCCATAAGTCCTAACAGTGTAAATTTCTGGCATTTTGTCTAAGTAGTGTTTACTACCATTACTGTAACAGTGACCTGCTCATAATTTTTCGTGTTCACTCAAATGTTGAAATTAAACAAAATGTTTTTGTTACTTGCCTCTTGCATTGCCTATTTACCATTTATGGTCATGTTATTTTATGTGCAATTTAATGCAGTATTTTTCAACCTTGGTCCGCAAGGCAGTTTGCCAACAGTCAGACACACCTGGATTAATCAGTTTGTCCAATAATGTAAGACAGGAGATAAAAGAGCTGTGCTTAATTCAGGAAATAGTGAAGTTGTGCACAAAGCTCAGAAAGCACAAGTTTGTTAAAAAAAAAAAAATAGCACACCCCCACCAAAAATATTTTTCACCAGCCGCCACTGGTGACAGTATGTATTTTCCCTGGCGATAGGGGGCAGTAGATACCTAAATCATTGAAAAGTATACATTATTTTTGTGTTCATGTAAGTCCTTACCAACAGATGGCCATTAGGGTCTTAAATCCCTGGGAGTGAACCCTCTAGCAAAATAACAAGAACAGCAGATTCATTCTCATCACTTGCAATGAGTGAAGAGGTCAATATGTAAAATAATGTTTATTAATGCTAAAAGTTTTGTAACCATTTGTTACAAATCAGTAAATGCATTCTGTCCTAATGAGCTTTCGTAGAAGAAAACATGGCATCCAATATGGCGTCACCTAGAGACTTAGACCCGCTTCCATGTATTTTAGACCCAATTTTTATGGTTCTATGTTATGAAAACATCAATATTTTTCAACAGCTGGGTGTCTTCATTCATTTACAACTACATTTCAATGGATATTTTCAGAGATTAATGGTAAAAACTACACATTGTCACTTTAAGGTCAAAGGTCAGATATTTTCCTCAATTCTTCATAGGGCCAGCATCTATATTTAGATACTTCCAATAATAGATTATATAAATTATTATACAATATAGTATATTCTTCATAACGGAGTTCTGAAATAAGCTCATTCCATGTAAAGCCAGATATTTCAAGCCTTTATTTGTTATAGTTGTGATGATTTTGGCTTACAGCTTATAAAAAGCTCACATTCAAAATCTTAGACAATTCCAATATTGTGGAACGGTTCAATGTTCTAGACTCAAAGTGTCATTATCTAATCAGCTAAAAATTCTAGAACACCTACAAAGGGTTCCTGAGCTTTTAGATGGTCTGTCAGACCAAGTTAAATTTCTGAGACAATAACAGACTTTTGCACCATATTCTAATTTTTTTGATTATTCAAATTAAGGCAGGTGTTCCAAAGAGGCCCCAGAGCATCACACTACCACCACCATGTTTAGGTGTTGGTATGATGTTTTGACTATCATGTTTCTGAAATGCAATTTTAAGCAACAATGTGTAGTTTTAATCATTATGATGAACACAATTAATGTTATTGAAAATAAATTTAATGATACCCAGTTGTTGAAAACTTTGTGATATAAAACCATAAAAATCAAGGGAGTGGGTCTAAGGGTGTTTCTCAATGCCAAGGAACCTCGCCTTGATGCCTTGGGCCCGCCCCAGTTGCCTAGGAGATACTTTATCAGGAACTGCCAAGGCGTGTTCCAATGTTCATGTTCTACCAAGGTGTCTGTTCTCCGTTTGTTGGTCGTTTAGCTAGCTGAGCATGGATACAAGCGAGGTATCTTGGTCAAAAATTTCAGAGAATGCAGCGCAGTATTTTCAAAAGGATGACGGATCAGAAGATGGCGGCTACTTCAGGGGCTTTCCAGTTTAAATGTAAGTCAACTAATTGTAGCAATTGGGCTGATATCTGAAATGTTTGTTTTATATCCCAAGCAGTTATCTATGGCTGGTTAGTTGCTTAGTAGTTGCAGTTTCGGTGGCTAGCGGGTTGTAACTTGCTTACACATTTAATTTAACAAATATATACACAATTTAAAAGCAAAAGGCTCGTTTTATATTCATATTGAAACTTATACATTTAAAATATAAAGTTACCTCCTGTGTTACGTGATGTCACATGACCGCCGCGGAAGCCGCGGTCACAGGACGCAAGTCTGCTCCAATTAACTTCCTTTGACCAAGGAAGGACAGCATCCTCGTAAGCAAGGCGCCCGGCCTCGCTAGGCAATGTCTTGCGAGGCCGGGTGCCTTGACATTGAGAAACACTCCAAGTCTCCGGGTGACGCCATGTTAGATGCCACGTTTCTCTCTACGGGAGCCCAAGAGGACAACATGCATTTACTGATTTGTTACAAAACTTTCACCAATCATAAACGTTGTTGTTTCACACATTTACCTCCTTACTCCTTACAAGTAATGAAAGGGAGTCTGATGTTCTCGTCATTGTGCTGGAGATTGTGCATCCATCGATTTTTGACCCTAATGGCCATCCGTTGGTAAGGTCTTACTTGAACACAAAAATGTCACTTGCTTGCAATGATTTAGATAAATACTGCCCTGTATCACCAGGGAAAATGCATATTGTCACTTTAAGGACAAATTATTCCTGTCAGAGTCTTGGGAATCAAAATGTTTGTTTGAGTTGTTTTAGCAAATTTGACTGCTTTTGTGTTCTTTTAGGTCAGCAGAGGGTATTTTTGCTACTTGTGATCATTCCATTTATCTGTGCTCGATAGTGACACTATTATCAAATATTATATTCCATTGACAAGCTAATGTAGTTGTAATCCACAGTCCCCATACTGTAAACATACTAGGTGAGATGGTGAAATTCATGGTCACTTTACATAAGTCAAAAATAATACAGCCATCAAACCTTCTAGCGTGCCTCTATTGTCGGTAAAAGTTAAAAGTTTAGCCGCATCAGTATGCCCCAGCAGTCCCAGAGCCACTTGAGGTGAGTTTCTATAGTAACCGCTACAGCCAGATAACAGCAAATCACAGTTTCAAAAGCGAGCCTCCTAACAGCATTAGTCCCTGCAGAAGCAGGGTGTCAAGCATGACAAGAAGGCTCTCTAAGTAGATTATAAACCAACACAGTGCTCTGTGGCCTGGAGAGTTCTTCTGAAACCACCTGCATGTAGGTGAGAAGCAAATGCATCTGAGGGGTTTTGAAGCTGGATGATGACAGCTGCTGCAGATTAGGGAAAGAGTCACTTGTTCAAAAACTTTATCTCCTGCAATCTTCCTGCTACGGGAGGAAAGATGTCACCTGGTGGAAGATGGATGGGATGCTTACCTGACCCTTACACCCTCAGTCATTATATAAAGTATACTAACCAAGTGTTAAATTCAACAACACACTGACCTAAATAAATAAAAGCTATTCAGGTATTATCCCATCCCAGCTGTGGCAGACGCAAACCAATACCTGTGACTAAAGTGTCAAGGTATTTATCACCGTGCCACACATCTGCATGAGCCGTACGTCGTCCATTGGCTGCAGTAGAGGCCTGTTAGCATCCATTTGTACACCTGGTCATCACCGAGCACTCATTATTCACACGCTGACATTTATACTCACAATCCTGTGATGAACGGTGGCGGAAGGTGAACCGCAGATGGCTCCGGTTCACGTCTTCAATAGGAATAGCGACCTGAGATAAGGAACAGAGGAGCGCCGTGTGACGTTCAGACTCAGGGAGGCACAAGCTAACCAAAAACATCCACTTTGTTCCGTTAAACTGAAGAATGAGTCGTTTCAATCACAACACACTAACCTCTGGAATCACTGTCGCTTTAAAAGCTGCCTCATTGTCTTCAGATATTTCTACTCAAACACCCACTGGGCAACAACATTCCAGGCAGTGGTGTGTGGCAAATTAAAATTGCTTTTCTTAGCAACTGACAGAACAACCCAGATGGAAAAAATCTCTGAATCCTCCGTTATTGGGTCAATATTTAGCCTTCTGCTACAAATCACGAGCTGCAACAACATGTGCTGTTGTGACTAGTGAATTTGAGAACTCCAGTGTTGCGCTGAAGCATGGGGAAAATGATAATTAGAGGGAAATGGCTTTGATGGGAAGATAAACAGGGAAACACACCTTTATGGTTTCAAACCAGCGTGGCTGCTTCACTTGGTAGTAGATGACAGACTTGTACTCGCTGATGCCATCATCTCCAGCCCCAGGGAAAATCACATTCTGGAGACAAAAACACATCATCTGATCAACCGTTTATCTGACCGAGCTCTTATTAACTAGCTTACAACTTCCTGAATGGCCTCAGTTTGGAGAAATAGAGTGTAAGTTTTATTATCATCTTTAAATATTACTTTCCACTGAGCAGGAGACAAAACAAAGTGCTGTACATGCATATAAAAAGAAATTAAAACAACAACGAACCCTGCAAGGGCCAACAGAGATATACTTAAAAACAGATAACAGCAAGAGATGAAGATAAAACAACAGACTCTTAAGCCCTTTTCAGATAGACATTCTGGAATATGAGTGGACAATTCAATCCGGTTTTTAACCGGAACTGTGTTTTCAGATACACCACTTTTGTACCGGAACTTGTCCTTTCGGCTGCCTTCACACAGCAGGGAAAAGTTCCAGATGTCTGGGGGGGGGGGGGGGGGGGTCGGACTTATGTTAAGCATAATTCTGCGCACACGAAGATGCATAAGAGACCTGGATGATGAAGCTCAATGGTTAAAGGAATCACTGAAGCGGTGTGAAGCGCTCCGTCGCGCGTCTAGACGGTACCGTAGGAGACGAGCTGCCATGGTTCGCCGCATGCTACAGGAGCGAGCTATCTAGGTGTGCACAGCATCCCCCGATCCCCTCCTCCTCCCCCTCCCCTCTGTCCGGAACTCGACCTCACCAGTCCGAAGCAGCCACCTTGTCCGTAACAAGTCCGGACCTGTTACTAGGGGCGTCGTCCGGTTAAATTATGGAAAACGTTTTCCGGATGTTTGCATTCAGACACAAAGGTCTTACGGACAGAGTCCGGAACATTTCCGTTTTTCATGGCCTGTCTGAAGGGGGCTTTGCTGGCAGTGAAGGCACTTCTCTGACCTCCAGTGGAAGGTCATTTCACAGCTTCAGGGTCAAAACCGGGAGACCCCAGCCTCCTTTAGTCGAGCATTTTACACGTGGAAGGACCAGTAAGTCTTGCTGTGACTATCTAAGTGCACCTGAAGTGTTGTAACGACTGAGTACGTCAGACAGACAGGTTGGAGCCCAGCCCAGCCCAGACACTCAAAAACAAGCATCTTAAACCTGACTAAAACAACCTGGGAGCCAATGTAAATGAGCCAAGACAGGCGTGATATGTTCCCACATTCTGGTGCCTGTCAGGACTCTAACTGCAGCACATTGGGCATGCTGGAATCGGGCTAGTGCAGCCTAACGAACTCCTGAGTAAAGTGAGTTGCAGCAGTCTAGGTGTGAAGTAATGACAGCATAGACTACACACGATACAGGAATGCTGTTCAAGGAAAGTTTAACCCCCAATCCACACCAGGAGCATCTGTGGCACGTTAAGGCAGCCTATGGGTTGGTTCACACTGGCTGCAGCGCAGCACATTTCCGGTGCCTCCCAGAAGCGTCTCAAGGATAGGAATGGGTTCTATTTTTGCTGCGACACGCTTCTGGGATGCAGTTACGATGCCTTACCTATACAAACATTACATCTTCACTGTTGAGCAAATTAGGCCTCCATTGCCATCCTGTTTGTCTTTTTTTTATTCCTGATCTAATACTTTAGCAATGCATTAAGACGAAAGAAGAGCACACTAGAGTTATCCTTTAAGTTTTTTAAATAATTCATCTATTTTTCTTTCTGTAGTCATGTCATTTCATTAGTTTATTTGCCACAAAACATCACTTGTTTAGGAAGTACATTAATAAGAAACATGTTAATGTTAAGAATAAATGTAAAAGTAAAATTGTTGCTGCTCATATTTCAAGTTGTCAGCTCGGTGTGTGGATATCTTTGGTGTGTTCTTGCTGTGTTGAAATTCTAATTCCATCTTTTAGTTCTTTTTAAAACACAGAAAGGTTTTATTTACCTGCAATGTTTCGTTTGTGGCTGCAAAAGATGAATCGGTGTGTGTATGCTTTTAATGACGGGGATGGCATGGCATATGATGGTCAGCAGCAGGGTCACTCTTTTCTACAAAACACCTGTAGTGCTGCTGCGTCTCTAAAGTTAGAAAGCAAAAGCAGATCATACAACGACTCAAGGAGCCCGCAGAACCCGACGTTCGCGTTAACCAGACATTTTCCGTTATTTTTCTGATGGAAATATCTCAAGGCTGTTGGTCGTTTTGACAGACTGGAATTACCCAGACGAACGCAGGTGCACAGACATTTTAAACACACAGAGAACATGCGGAGGTAACAAAATCTATCAAGAAAATAATCCTGTCAGAAGATCTGAGCATTATCTCAGACTTGGACACCATGATAAGCACAGCTTGCTATTGTCAGCATGCATGCATTAGTGGACAGCGCTCTGAGGAGCAATATTTGCAATAAAGTCCAAGTGAAGAATTTATGTTTTTATTACTTGATTGCTATCTCACAGAAGTGATCTGTTAACAGATTTGTTAAATGTTAAAGTTAATTACATTTTTTTAAAAGGAGCATTCTAGATCTGTTTCTTTCTTTTCTTTATTCTTTTTAATGTATTGAAAATATCGAATCGGGACTCGGTATCGGCAGATCCTCAAAATCAAATGACTCTGACCCGAGGGCAAAAAAAAACCTGTTTGGGACATCCCCATCAACCATTAATGATCACACTCAGGTCTAAGATTATTTGAGTGTTGCTATGAATGAATGGGATGTGCGGTGTGAGAAGAAACCAAAGACCTTGATAAAAATCCACGTCAGGAAAGCAGGTCAACTTCATGCAACATAAGCTAACAGTGCAAGCCAACGTGCAACATTATGGGTGTTTTATTTTGTAAAATACAAACCCTCATGTTCAGAAGTTAAAGAGATTCAGATTTTTTTTTTCAGTCTGTGACTGTAGCGCATCCATTTAAAGACCAAATGGAGAATTTAAATATTGGACAGCATGAGTTCTCAAAAAATAGGGAAAGGGGATACCTGGAACAGGTGCTCTGTTGCTTATTTGAATGTAAACTTCATTTGTGGCTTGGACATCCAGTTATTCTTCTGATTGCTGCTTAGGTGTCACAACATTGTCGTAGAAGAAAGGATGAGAGGGGAGAAATATTCCTGCTGGACTCGATCACTGTATCTACTGCAACTGCTTTCATAACTGACGATGATGAAATTTACTCTTGTAAATAATCCTAGAACTCCGTGAACTTGGTCATTTAATGCGAACCACGGCGATGAGGTTTACAAAATATTCTATGACATTCAGAATATTTGAGCCGTTTCAAAATGGCAGCAATCTCCAAGTCTCGGCCGTGCTCAGTCTAGCAGTTAGCTCATCAATCCTGTTGGAGGTGAGCAGATGCTATCAACTAGATGCATAACGGTACATATTTAGAACTTTTACAAAGACGCATAATGTAAAAATGCTGACAAAATACTCAAAGTAAACTTTAAGTGAAGGTGGTTGATCGATTATCATTCAGTGAAAACATTAGCAGCCTCATCACACGTGGAAAATTGACTTTATAAGATTAACTCCCTGGAGCAGAAAGCCTTAATCTAGCAGAATGGCCTTTAAAAGTCTGGATGTACTTTATGCATGAGCACCTGTGTGCTAGCTGTCAATCTCACCATAGCACTGTGGATGAAATAAATTAGAAATGAATTATTTAAAAAAGAGCTGCTGGAGCTCTGACGCAGAAAGAGGGATGGTGAGCACAGGAAAAGCAGGTCAGCTGGTGCTGATGGATCCAACCATGTAATTTGGTCTTTCATCTGGGTCCTCTTCATCTCTACAACAGGTTGGGGTGAGTATGTAAAAAGAAAAAAATATGACATGCCCCACTTGGGGAGTTGGCACAACAGGTGGAGTGACAGCGGGTAGCACGCATGCCCTGTTTTCTATCCATCTGTGCTGTGCCAGCCTACCTCTCTCCTCCCAGTACTCCAGCTGACTCCCCGGCCTGCTAGTGTACCGCAGCTGAAGTACTCCTACACTAATAGCTTCTGACAACCAGCAATTATGAGAAATAACAGACCCTGTCTCCCCCCCCACCAGCTGTGTTGAGCAGAAACAAGGAGGGGGCAGGTGCTAAATCTCTCAAATCTGCCCCTTCACAAAGTGGCCAGTTTCTGACAGCTTCCAGTGTAAGAGAAGTGGCTGCAGAGGTCTGAGAGAGAGTGAGAAGCAGGTTTCGGGAGGTGCGCTAATAAGTCAAAATGTCATTGGCTGCAAATCCTTTCTGAAAATGAGGAACGATGACAAAGTCAAGGGGAAGCAAGACAAAAGGTAGAAGATAAGCAGATTGCGATGGATACAGAGAAAACTGCAAACTGCAAAACTACAATTAATTTACTTAGAAACAAAATGAGCATTTAAAGAGCAAGTCACCCCCTACCAGAGTATTACTCCACTCCCACTTCCTGTTTGAAAAATGCAGCAATTGCGGTTGCCTAGCAGACCGAGAGGGTGGAGCCGCTAACAAATACACACACACAGGCTCACAACGACATTGTGACATCATATGGTACCAGCTAACGTTCTAGGGTACCTCTTAGCCAGTAGCGATGGCAGACTTAAATCCAACTGCAGTGCAGAGTTTTTACCTGACAACAATACAACACTGAAAGTCTTAGGCAGAAAATTTTAATTTTAACTAAAATGCGCTTAAGTGCAAAACTATTGACTACACATGTCTGCAACACGATTAGACACGCATTTATATACAGTCAGGTCCATAAATATTGGGACATTGATGCAATGCTAACATGTTTGGCTCTATACACCATCACAATGGACATCAAATGAAACGGACAAGATGTGCTTTAACTGCAGACTGTCAGCTTTTATTTGAGGGTATTTACATCCAAATCAGGTGAACGGTGGAGGAATTACAACAGTTTGCATACGTGCCTCCCACTTGTTAAGGGACCAAAAGTAATGGGACAATTGGCTTCTCAGCTATTCCATGGCCAGGTGTGCGTTATTCCCTCATTATCCCAATTACAATGAGCAGATAACAGGCCCAGAGTTCATTTCAAGTGTGCTAATTGCATTTGGAATCTGT